TCAGGGAGTGGGGTTGGACCTGAAGTGGTGGGGGGCAAACTGTGTGGGACCTGAATGGTTGTGGTGGCGGGGGGGTTTGGACATGAATGGGTGGAGGGAGGTGGTGCTGTTGTGGACCCAAACTGGGGGTGCATGGAGGCAGGGAATGACCTCCTCCAGGGGGGGAAGAAGGTTGGACCAAAACCAGGGTGAGGGGGGTGGGGAAGGGTCAGAGCCAAAGGGGTGGGTAGGGGAAGGGGGAGAATGAGGTTGGGTTGGACCCGAATGGGGTGAGGCAGGGAGGCGGGGAAGGGTCGGAACTGGATTGTGGGGGGCCGGAGTCAAACCCAAAGTGGGGGAGCAAGGTCAGACCCGAAGGGGGGAGTGGGTTCAGACCCGAAGTGGGGAAAGTGAGGCTGGGGTGGGGCGTGGGGCCAGATGGGGGTTGAATGAATCTCATGTCATTCTTAATGGGCAACTTGCTAGTTCTTATTTAAAATGAATCAATAACATGTAGTGGATCAAAACAGTGGACTGCAAGTGAAAAAAGGGAGAAAGACCGATAGGATTACTGTGTCTTATCTCACAACCTCTTTTTTTTACTTTTTGCTTTTGGAACATGGACAGACAGGTGGGTGCTAGTCTTCCTTATAGCTAATGCATGTCTGAAATGTGGGAATTTGAGCTGACAGAAAGTTTTGCAAAATTGTCTAGTTTCACTAAAACAGCCCCTTTGAACGAAAAAGCATTTTGTGGAAAATTTGCTGATCAACTTTGAACGTGGTCACATTAAACGTAGTAGAATTAGCCCATATCTTTACTACTATAAATAAGTCTTGAATATAGTATATCCTACTGAAACCTCGATATTGCAAAGTGCTTCCTCATTCCATCTTAGAACATGCTTCCTTGCCTATACCTGTCCAAGTAGTCCTTCATCTTTTTTTCCTTTCTGCGCTAAATGAAAGGAAAATATACCTGAATTTTTCCCTCATACCTTGGTCTCCTGGGGTGTTTGTACATGCTACATTTTTTGCCATTCCTTGCGCTGCAACGGCATGATTGTTTGCACAAAGGGGTTTTCTGGGTGCTTTAAAAGTGTTTCTGGTGCATTAAACTAAAAATCCTTGGACATAATTTAGTTTGACTCACCACAAATAAAAGTGTTGTGTCCATGAATTCATTGCGTGCAAACACAAAGGCACTCAAAGACATATAATGAGCATCTTTGTTCACCAGATGGTGCTGTGACTTCTTTGTAGCTCATCCCTTGGAATTGCTGCTGCTTTCAACTTGTTTCTGCTTGTTGTTGTTGTTCCATATGCCAGACCCCTGCTCCCACAGCTGCATGGTAGGGCATGGGTTGGGGGCCCCAGGCTAGAGTGGGGGCAGCACGGGACTGTCTCACTCTCCTATGGCGCTGGGCGGGTACTGGGTTTAATTTTTTCAAAAACCCAATGTGTGCAAACACTGATGTGATGCTCCAAAATGAATCAGTTTAAATTTTATAAACCTATTTAATTAAATGAGGTTTAAACCCGTGAATTATTTGGGATTCAACCATTAATTTCAAAGGATTCAAAGTTTGTATTCTGTATTCTGTGGTGCCTCCAATGATCAATGCAGTCATTTAAAGCATGAGGAACCAGGAGATTAAAGGTGCCCTGAGTTCAGTTCATAGTCACAGCTGAGGCTGCTTTGTGTGCGTGTTCATGTGTGTGTGCACCATCAGCTGAGAACAGTTTAGATGGATGGGATGTTTTGTGAGTCATGTCATTGCTTGTTTAGGGGCTTGTCTTAAGAGAATAGTAATCAGTGGTTCTTTGGACAGATGTGAGGAAGGGTCACTGCTTTGCCGCTGTTCACATGGGCTGGGTATGAACAGGTAAGCCAGTTATGAAAAGAGTTGTATCAGGCTTCATCCCTGAGCCCATAAGCTCCCTTACTATTTTTGTTACCCTCGAATGGACTGTCTCCTATTTGTGCACACCAGTTGTGTAGTGGAAGGCCCAAAAATGAGATTCCACTTTCCTGGTCCTGAGATCCATTTCTTTCATATAGGGTTCCAGCTTCAGATACTCCAAACACTCCTGGCTAATTCTCTCTGCCCCCAATTCCTCTCTTCTTTTAAACTCCCATTCCCATTGCATAGTCCCTACCCACAGGTCTCTTTCCCATCCCTTAGGTCCTTGCGTCCTTGTACCCAAACATCAACCCCTTCCCTTCTCCTCCACCACAACTTTGGCTCTGGACACTGCTCCATCATCTAGTTCTTCTCCATCTTCCTTCCTCTGTCTCCATGATTTCAATATTACTTTGAGAGCTGCCTCTGCAGAGGGTCACTGAGCACACAATTAACCTGGGGATATGCTACACAAAGTCAGCATGACATAAGTTCCCAATATTTGGTTGTGAGTAAAATTCCAAGGGTGTGAATTTTGTCAGCTTTTGGGGAAAATGCTGGATACTGAGAATTTCCCGTGTGATAGCCATTCCAGTTCATGCTCCTGTGTCCTCTCCAGCTACATCATAGGGACACAACTCTGAAAGACACAACACCTCTGATGACAGGTCGCCAATCAGACACTGCCTCCAAGACATAAACTTCTTGACCTGGAAGCTAGGGCAGAACTGGTCATTATGAACATCCCTGCTCATTCCTGAAGAGTAGCATCTGCGGCTGCTCAGAGCAGTCCATGCCCTCAGCATGGTAGCTCCCATGCTGATTTGGGAAAACAGACCCATTGTGTTTCATTAAACTACAGCATTGACAAGTCCAAGACATGCACAGGGCTTTCCCGCTTGCCTGTGAAATGGCCATGACAGGCCTTGAGAGGGATATGTTACCCCTTTGTCCCCCTCGGAAGGATAGGCTGTAACAACCCTCTTGAGATCAGGGTCCCCCCGACACGCATGGCGTAGTTCAGTCTCCTCGTCATTACCCCTCAAGCCACGGCAGGTCTAGTTTGGGAAGGAAGGCCAGACTACTGCTGTCCCCTCCCAACCCCTCAAGTTGTATGCAGCTGGAAGGTTACCAGGGATCAGTGGGGCTGATGGAGATACTAGAGGCACTTTCTCTGTCCCATGGCAATTGTTTCAGGCTCTCTGTAGACTCAGGTAGGCATCACTGTAGTAATTGAATTTGAGGCATCTCTACAGGAGCTGGTCCAGTTCATAGGCTGCAGAATGGGGTGAGCCACCTGGGCCATGGCCCAACCAACTTTTAGCACGTTCATTTATATATCCCACAATTGCGCAATTGTCATTCTAGTTAAAACCGTATAGCTATTTTTTAACTGCATAGCTAGCTAAATTAATATACTAAACACTGGTTGGCCCATGGCCCAGGTGGCCCACCCTGTTCCGCAGGCCATGATCCAGTTTGTAATAGGTCCATTTTCTGATTCTGGACTCTATCAGACACACAGTGCATTGTATTAAAGGTGACAGCAATGATAACGTACAGGTAAAAAATTCCCGAAGAAAGTTATCAAAGGTACGGGCATTATTGAGTTGACAAGAGCTAGCTGAAGAGTTACGGGCAGTTTTGAGGAGTCCCAGCCATCTTAATCTGCCCCCCCAACCCCTATTGCCTCTGCCTGTTTGTCGCCATTTTTGCATAGAGTATTCATTCAGTCTAAAGGAA